TGGCTCAGCTTACCTTCTGCACCACTAAGTTTGAATGAGTGATGGATGAACATGCGATTGTACGTTCACCCCTTCGTTTTTTTGGTAGACACCTTTATAATCGTCCGTATCGTCGAAATCTGACACAGTCAATTTGTGCACGGTTGATCAGCCGCGGAGGCAGCAGTTACCATCAACATTTCACATTAGGCTCTCTAAACGGATCTTCGCAATGTGGCAGGCGTACTCGCAGCGCTTTCCAAACATGCTCCTCCACCAGGACAGATCTTTCGCGTTTTATTCTCCACTTCGGCACTACTTTTCTGCAAAGTGGGTCGATGGCCAGTTAGTACAACGATGAGGAGAACGAGTAAATTAGGATAAAGCACTGGTTTATTGGTAAGCAAACCCATCTTGACGTTGTGGGCGAATCGAGGAGTGTCACCCTTACTGTCCGTCGGCAATTGCCCCCGTATTAGGTAAGGGGCGGGCTTTGGACGGATTGTCGTATGAGACGATGAGGAGGAGGGACTGTCATACGAGGCGAAAATACCACTAAGGTGCAGCAGAAGCTGTTCACCCACCCCAGAATTTCTTTCTCCCAAGGCCTGGGGAAAAAATCTTTACCCCATGGCTCGAATTAATTTCTAAGCGTCGGCTCCCCATTAACAATTAAATATAATTGTCGTGATTACGTCGCTCTGCATATAGTGTAGTTCGCTGCGGACGGTTGGGCGTGTCAGGCGGGATGAGGTTGGGGCTGGGCCAAAGCGAGCAAATGATATGACTGTATCATATCGTTCGTATTACTCGTTTTCTACCACTTTTTGTCGCATGCGCGCTTCAACAAGAAGGCAGAGAACGGGGTGACACACTCATACTGCCTGACACGCCCAACCGTCCGCAGCGAACTAGACAGGGTACAGCATGGGGATGTGCGAAATGGCGGTGTGAGTACGACCCCCCCCCTCGAAGAGGGTCCAGATACGACCCCCCCCCTCCTGCTCTAACTGACAACCAGATGCATGTTCACCACAAATGGCTTCCTGAAATGGAATCTGGATTTTCGAAAGGCGACTCGTAATA